AACTAAAAATAAAGTAAAAAAAATATATATAAAAATAAAACTGAAAAAGAATTGAAAAAAATAAGAAAACAACTGAAAAAATAATACTAAAAGGATAAAGAATAAAAATACAAAGATTGCTATATACTGTTTTCCCCAAGGGTTGAAGCTTTGGAGCCCTCCATGATCAGTAAACTTGGTGTGAACGAGTTCTTCGAGCTGGTCTTCTGGGGGAGGGGCCTGTTGTACTGATTCTCAGGTGGACTTGCCCTAGCGGACAGGAGCCTCCACGGTGCAGGGAGGCCGCGCTCGGTGTAAGCGGCTCTGGACTCCACTAGCTGGTGCTGTTTTGATCCCTGAAAGCTTTCAGCACTGATGGGTGGGACGAATATGGCTGTGCCCTGCTCTCTAGCCCCGCTCCTGAAAATTTGCACCCACCACTCTTCATTGAGCCTTCACAGAAGAGCAGTCAAGCACTCTTGTATCCCCAGTGTCCGTCAGAACTCTGTGTTCACCCAGCCTGTGGCCTAGCGTTTTTATCTCGGCCATGCAACTGAGTTTCAAAACTCCAAATTTTAAGGACTTCTGCTGTTCCTCCCGGGGAGGGTCTTTCAACCCTTCTGCCTTTTGCCAGACCCCTCCCTGGAAAGCTGTCGCATGACCCTGCGGTGGTTCGCTGGTTATGGCAACACAGAGCAGATAGCTGGCGCCTAATTCACTGTTAGCTGGTTTCTCCGCTCGAATGCCTGGGGACTCGGCTGCACTCAGGCACCACCTGATCTTTTTGAGACCCCAGGGATCCTCAGACCACCCTGTCACACCTGGGATTCCACCCCGCTTCGCCATCTGAGCACATTTAAGCCAGGCACGTCCCCCACTGTAGCAGACTTCTAAAAGTTCCGATTTTGCACTCCGCTGCTTATTCTACTTTAGGGTAGCCTCCTTAAGCAGGCTCCCTCCCCTCCGCCTAGCCTCAGCTACGTCACACTAGATTCAAGTCTCAGCACCTCCTACCTTCCAAACAGTGGTTGTTTTTCTACTTGTAGAATTGCAGTATTTGTTTTCTCAGATCTCTGATTGATTCCTCAGGTGTTCAGAATGATTTGATAACCATCTAGTTGTATTAGAGGAACCAGACAAACTTAGGGTCCCCCTAACTTCTTTGCCTCCTAACTCCGGATGCACATTTATTTCTGATAGTGCAGGTCTCCTGGCAATGGCTTGCCCTGGTTAATTATTTTACTTTTCTTATTTCTGAAAATGTGCTTATTTTGCTTTTTTTTTCTTGAAGGATTTTTTTCACTAGACATATTTTGAGTTCAGAATGTTTTATTTTCGTATTTAAAAACTGTTTTCCATTATCTTCCAGCCTCCATATCTGCCAATTAAGAAGTCAGCCTTCATTGAAATTATTGTTCCGCTGTATGTAATGCATCATTTTTTTTTTTATGGCTGTTTTCAAGAGTCTCATTATATTTAGTTTCTGGTAGTTCGTATATAGTATATTTTCTTTGTATTTATCTTGCATGGACTTTATTAATTTTCTAGATCCTATATAGTTATGTCAGTCATCAAATTTGAGGAATTGATGGTCTTGCTTCTTCAAGTATTTTTTTTTCCATACTCTCTCTTTCTCCTTTCCTTCTCAGACTCCATGTACATATTTCCTTTTCCTATTGTCCAACCATTCCCACAAACTCATTTTATAATTTTTTCTTTTTTATTTAAATTGGATTATTTCCATTGTTTATTTCCATTATTTCCATTTATTTTTATGCTCACTGTCTTTTATCAATTCCATCTGTTTTAAGTCTCCCCAGTGAAGATTTTTTTTTTCAGATATTGAACTGTAAGTTCTAGAATTTCTTTTTTTTATGGTTTCTATTTTTCTATTAATGTCTTATATTTTTATTCATTGAGAGCATTTTTTTTTAATTTTGTCCTTTAGAATAGCTATAAAGCTTGTTTAAAATACTTGTATATTCCGATATCTGGATAATCTCACACTCAGTATCAGTTGATTGTCTTTCTCTTGAGAATGGGTCTGGATCACATTCTTCTAGTTATTTGTATATCACATAATTTACTCACCTGACAACTAAGAAATGCTTTCTGGAATTTCCAATCCTACTCTTTTTTTTTTTTTTTTTGACCTTTCTTTACATCTTAGAGGAGAGTAGTAAGCTAAGGATAGCAAAGCTTCTCAAATACTATACTGCTGCTCAAGCAACTTGTTTAGAAATATGTGCCACAAATTAGTTTGAGAAAGAAATTCTCAGAAACTGAGTGAGAATATCCAAGTTTAAAATACTGTTACAGGGGCATCTGGGTGGCTCAGTCAGTTAAGCATCTGACTCTTGATTTTGACTCAGGTCATGATCTCAGGGTCGTGAGACTGAGCCCCATGGCAGGCTCTGCACTCAGTAGGGAGTCGGCTTGAGATTCTCTCTCCCTCTTCCTCTGCCCCCCCATGCTCCTTCTCTCTCAAATAAATAATTAAATAAAATCTTTAAATAAAATACTGTTTCCTATTCTCTAAATAAAACATTTTTATGTATTTTATCATTCTAAAATTTTAACAGTTCCCTTTCAAGAGTTCCCCCTCAGAATTGAGGAGGAGAAATGAAACTTCTACCTGCCTTCCTCCTGTCAGCTGTTTTAATAGATAGCCAGTGTGAGTTATAAGTTTTTTCTTTTTTATTCAACCCCATCAATCTTTGAGTCAGTATAAATTCATTATAAATTCTGATACTGTCTTAATTTTTCATTTTTTTTTTAATTCCTGGTATTTGTCATGATTTTAAAATGTTGGCCACTATTTTTTTGAATTGCTTTATTGAGATATAATTCACATATCATACAATTCACTCATTTAAAATGTATTGTGCATTCAGTGTTTTTTGGTATAATCACAGAGTTGTATAATCATCACCACAATCAATTTTAGAACATTTACCACTGTTAGCTATCAGCCCCTGCCTCCCTCCTCCAGCCTTAAGCATCTACTGATTTACCTTCTGTCCCTATATAATTGTCTATTCTGGACATATCCTATAAAAGGAATCACATAATATGTAGTCTTTTCTGACTGGCTTTTCTCACTTAACATAAAGTTTCTGAGGTTCATCCATGTTGTGGCATGTAATAGTATTTTATTCCTTTGTTATAACCAAATAATATTATATAATATATATGTTTTATGTATATCGATAAGCATCTGGGTTGTTTCTACTTTGGTTATTATGAATAATTCTGCTAGAAACATTCATTTACAATGCTTGTGTGAATATGCATTTTTATTTCTTTTGGTATATATCTAGAAATAGATTACTGAGTCTATAATAACTCTATGTTTAACCTTTCAACAACTTCCAGATTGTTTTCCAAATTGGGTGTACCTCTTTACATTCTCATCAGCAGCATATATGGATTCCAATTTGTCCATATTCTTAACAATACTTGTTACTATCTGACAGATTTTGATTTATATTTGCTTAATGATTCATGATGTTAAGTATCTTTTCATGTGTTTACTGGCCATTCATACATTTTTTTTTTGAGAAATGTCTATTTAGATCTTTTGCTCATTTTAAAATTGGGCTGTCTTCCTATTTTGAGTTGTAAGAGTTCTTTAATTCTAGATATGAGTCCCTTATCAGATATATAATTTGCAACTATTTTCTTCTATTATATCTGCTGTGCTTTCATTTTCTTATCAGTGTCATTTGAAGCATTAAGGTTTTTAATCTTGATGAAGTCCAATTTGTCCATTTTTTCTTGCTTGCTTATGTTTTGATGTCATATTGAAGAATCTATTGCTATATCCATAGTCATGAAGATTTTAAGCCTTAATTTTTACCTGTATTTGTTGTCAGCATATTCATAGATACTTAAAAAAAAAAAGAAAGAAAGAAAACCTGTTGACCAAAAAATATTTTAACTATGAAATGCTACTTAAAATACAGGAACATGCAAAGTATATTTCTAAAAGTTCCTGTTCAATATTTCCCTGAACTATGGTATATCAAAAAATAATGGAGTTTTTTCCTGAAATCAGTTTCATGACCTACAGGGTCTTTACTCTCTCATCTTCACTTTCTTGGTTTCTCATCACAGTTCTTGATAACTCTCATCTAACTGTAAAAGTAATATAATTCAAAATGAAAAATTATAAAATACAGGAAATATAAAAATTTGCAAGTATTCTAATTTCTTAAGCCTATTAACCTCAAACCACATAGAATTATTACAGCCATACTTTGTATTTCCTCTCAATATTCTTTAAGTATTTATATATATCTAGATAATACTATAAATGCAATATTGTAACCTCATAATTTCCACTTATAACTATAGTTACCTTTGTGTATGTTTATATCGCCTCTTGACTATACTAGTAGTTCTGTACCAGGATTTGTAAATATTTTAGCCTTCTACTCACTTGAGGAAGATGGTGTATTTGTGCCTTTAAGCATTATTTAGTACTTGATGAATAATTAGGCTCCCATTAGAGGACTTATTAATACTTACTAATGCTTGCTACAAGCATAAGAGGTGATAGTTTTTGTATTTTTATGATGTGATAGAAAGATAGATATTACATTAACAACTTTATTTCAGAGGAAGTAAGGTTGACTCAGAAAGCCTTGAAGTTATCTTATAAATTTTAGACAACTGGAAGAGGTTAGAGGGAGTTAAGTACTGAGTTGAGGCCCATGCTCACTTTCTGTGGGTACTATGTGTATAGGAGACCTAGTGCTACGATTTGCCAGATAAAATGTAGTCCACTTAATCAGTGAAGCACTGCTCTTAGCTTATAAATTTGTGAAACTCTGAAAATCCAAGTTCAAAATAAAACTGAGATAAACAACACTTGAAAGAACAAGGAAAATAAGTATAGAATTGACTACATAATGCATACTTACACATGTAGGATTACTTTTTTTTAGATTTTATTTATTCATTTGAGAGAGAGAGGGAGAGTGAGTGAGAGAGAGCACAAGCAGGTTGAAGGGCAGATGGAGAAGCAGACTCCCCGCTGAGCAGGGAGCCTGATGTGGGACTTGATCCTGGGACTTGATCCTGGGACTCCGGGATCATAACCTGAGCCGAAGGCAGTCGCTTAACGACTGAACCATCCAGGCACCCCATGTAGGATTACTTTTAAAATTATATTCAGCAAAACTATGCTGGTTTCATTCACACATGGGATATTCAAATTTCCCTTCGTGACAGAGTACCCGAAATGACTGCATTGATGTCTTTGCTCTATGTGGCCATTTACAGTCAAATTCAACAAAATCCCCCGTTTTCACATAAAGTTTTTTGATGTCTTTATTTCTTAACTGTATGTTATTTTTGTTCATGTTACCTTCAGAAATTATACAAGCATCTGAAAGAAGAAATAATAAAAAATAAATTATTAATAATATAACTTTTCCTTTCCAAGAATAGTGAAATTTCATCTAAGAATATTTTGGAATTAAATAAAATTATGAAAGAATATTAAAAGCTAATATTTATTGAGTTTGCCAGGTACCGTTCTTACTACTTTGTATGCATTTTCTCTAAATACTGCACATCATTTTCCTGGGCTACATAAGAGGAGATGGGGACTCAGAGAGATTGAGTAATTTTTCCAAGGTCACATAATTTAGTGAGTATTTTGAGCCAGAATATGGACCTGGCAGTTTGACTTCAGAGCCTATGCTCTTAATTACTATGCATTATATACCTATAATCCCAAATAGGATTAAATTAAAATGTTCTATTAGGATCAATGTTATTCACCCTCCTTTCCCAACTCAGGGTCCTCTTTCACATTGTTTCCAAAATGTGCACAGTGTGAGCACATGAATATATTAACTTCTTACCAAATATTATAGTAAAAATAAGTTTATTTCCATCTAACAGATACATGGTACAGAAAGTGGGCTGAAGAAGACAACAATATATATAAAAACCAATCATCTCTTTAAGTATTCACTTAGCATATTCTTGAAGGTAACTATAAATGAGACCAAAAATTCTACTAGCTATTATATTGCTTGTTTAGAGCTCCTTTTCTACAAACTAATTATTGATGGTTATTAACTTTTGTGAAACCTTGATTTCTGTAGAAAAGCAGTGTTACTTTCCGCCACCATCCCCCCCTCCCCGCCATGATCAGAGTCCACTCATTCTTTTTCAAATTCAGCATTCTGAGAGGTAGCATTCCCCTGCGTAAATAGCACACCCTGGTACTACTAAGCAGGATGTTCTCTACAGCCCATAATCTCTGATATAGGAATTATTCAAAGTTGCTGAAATAAGCCCAAGGTTAAATCTGAGGAGCCATCCTAGCAGTGGTAACCATAAGGAACTTCTTTTAGTACCTAGATTTGTCCAAGCCCAGGAGATTGTAAGATACATTACCAAGTGTTTTCCTGGTAACATATGATAGACTAGTCCTTGTACTGTTAAGAAGAGGTTGACCTTTTTTCTCCCTGACTTTTCTGTAGACATGAGAGGCCACCAGAGCATCTGGCTTAAATACATGAAATTTGGAACCAGACTGCTGTGTCTGAATCCTGACTCCACCAAATACTCATCAAGTGGCTTGATCAATGTCAGACAGGTTTTCAGCTGAATTCAATTTAAGTAAAAGTCATCCTATGAAATTAGTCCATGAAAATTTTACTATGAATATCAAATATCAGACTCCAGGAGAATATGAAGAACTCACCTATGCATTTTGGTGGTTCTGACCACTGTCCATTTCTGCATATTACATCTATGGAGCCCCGAAGCTCATAGAAAGACTGGCAACGATACTGGACTGTTGATCCTGGAGGATATACTGATAATGGGAATGATGTGGTATCTCCATTGCTAATAGATGGAGGGGGACCACAGTATTGTGTAGACTCTGGAAAATAAATAACATTTATGTGTTGAGAGAAAACCAACATGTACTTTAAGTGAAGTAGTATAAATAAATCTCCTTATATTATATCTTCAATGTCTTATATGATGTCTGAGAGCTCAAGTAACTCATAATTTCTGTGATACGACCTGATAACCAAAAAATACTATAATGCTTCCTTTTACCCTAAAGTAAAATACTCTTAAGTATTAAGTGTATCTGTATTATAAGGGCATGCAAGTATAAGTATTAAGAATAGTTTTTATTTAAAGCATGATGAAGAGATAAGTAAATCTGATCTGGTCTGTTGCCCACCATCTTCATAAAAATTTGTATTTAAAGAGGAAAGGTAAAAATAAATAACTCCCTTTCCATTTCTATTCTCTGGGACTACTGTTATTTTATGCAAATAGCATGTGCCTATCAGTACATGATCATAAACTTAGTTTTACTGAAATGAATTATTGACATACTACTTTCCATTTATTTTTCTGATTCCAAATAATAGCATCTTTCTCTGTCAATAAATGTTTCAATTTCATGTTAAGAATGGCTGGGATAGGGATGCCTGGGTGGCTCAGTCAGTTAAGTGTCTGCCTTCAGCTCAGGTCATGATGCCAGAGTCCACATTGGGCTCCCTGTTCAGTGGGGAGTCTGCTTCTCTTTCTGCCTCTCACCCCACTCTCATGCTCTCTCTCACTCTCTCTGTCTTTTAAATAAATAAAATTTTTTTAAAAAATGAAAAAAGAATGGCTGGGATACAGGGGCGCCTGGGTGGCTCAATTGGTTAAGTGCCTGACTCCTGATTTCTGCTCAGGTCATGATCTCAGGCTCATGAGATTGAGCCCCACATTGGGCTCCATGCTCAGTGAGGAATCTGCCAGAGATTCTCTCTCCCTCTTCCTCTGCCC